TCTTCCAGATCATGTTTGAGACCTTCAACGTTCCTGCCATGTACGTGGCCATCCAGGCCGTCCTGTCGCTGTACGCGTCTGGAAGAACCACAGGTTGAGCCACACTTTGATTGTCTCTGATTGAAGCGTGAAAACAAACAACAAACGGTTCATCGATATTAAAACGCTGCCGAAGCTGAAACACGTGTCTACAGTTTGAACGCATCATGTGACCCAGAATGACGTAGCAGGTCATGTGACAACCCTGTCTGTCTCCATGGCGACCCGTCTGCAGGTATCGTCCTGGACTCAGGGGACGGCGTCACCCACAACGTGCCGATCTACGAGGGCTACGCTCTGCCGCACGCCATCATGAGGTTGGACCTGGCGGGCCGCGACCTCACCGACTACCTCATGAAGATCCTGACCGAGCGAGGATACAGCTTCGTCACCACAGGTACGACCGCAACTCACCTGGTGACTCATCACTCACCTGGTGACTCACCTGGTGACTCNGGGCGTCTCAGGGAAACCTCACATCTCCAAGTTTGGTGCTGCAGCTGCAGGTTTGCTGTAAACTGATGCTGGATTTATGGCTGCAGCTGAGGCCGGGCCGGGCCAGGCCGGGCCGGGCCGGGCCGAGGCCGCTCCGCCGGCTGTGGGCGTAAAGAAAAGGTTTCTGTGAAGAATGTCAGAGTTTTGATGCTGCAGTTGGAAACTTATTCTGTCTGCTGGATGTTTTCTGTGAAGTGTTGATGCTTGGTTCCTCTGTGAGGTCTTCGGGCCGGTTCCGTTCAGGTTTGTGTGATCTGGACGCTGCAGCTGGAGGCTGGAGGGTTTGGTGCCGGAGCTGAAGCTGCACCGACGTCTGACTGGACGGTTGTTCCTCCGGTACCGAGCAACACAGAGACACACAGCAGGGTGATCTGAATGGATCCACAGTTTGGTTCTGAATCGGTTCTTCTGCGATCCGTTCAGTGAAGATTTAACAGACTGAAGTTGATCAGTACTCAGCGTGTCCAGCAGGGGGCACATCTGTCTCCACTGATCGTGACTGTATCAATAGGTCATCAATAGCTCCCTGATTGATCGGCCCTCTGCCCCACAGTGTGAGTCGGAGTCGTAGCGTCGCCCACAGCGCCCCCTGCAGTCATGTGTGATGAAGAGGAGAGCACCGCGCTGGTCTGTGACAACGGATCGGGGCTCTGTAAGGCCGGGTTCGCCGGAGACGACGCCCCCCGAGCCGTCTTCCCCTCCATCGTGGGCCGGCCCCGGCACCAGGTGACTGCTCACATGCTAATGCTAACGCTAATGTGCTAACCTGTGATCCTGCTTCCGTTCAGCTTCACACAGGACAGAACCACTCACTACAGTGGAGGCTGAGCTGACTGAGCACAGGTGCAGAGAGGCCACGCCCACACAGGTGTGAGCAGCCTCCACAGGTGAGTAACTGGCCCACCTGTGTGCAGGGCGTGATGGTGGGCATGGGGCAGAAGGACAGCTACGTGGGCGACGAGGCTCAGAGCAAGAGAGGCATCCTGACCCTAAAGTACCCCATCGAACACGGCATCATCACCAACTGGGACGACATGGAGAAGGTCACTGATCACTAATCAGTAATCAATGACATCACCTGTCAATCACTGCCGCCCATGCTGATGACCGTCTGCTCTGTGATTGGTCAGATCTGGCATCACTCGTTCTACAACGAGCTGCGAGTGGCTCCTGAAGAACATCCGACTCTGCTGACGGAAGCTCCGCTGAACCCCAAAGCCAACCGGGAGAAGATGACGCAGGTACTACTGCAGTACTACACACTATACTGCAGTACTACACACTACACTGTAGTACTACACACTATACCGCAGTACTACACACTATACTGTAGTACTACACACTATACTGCAGTACTACACACTGTA